CTGCTCCTGCTTCATCTGTCTCACCCGCATAAAGAGCCCTCAAAGTAAGTGGAGGAGCCTGAAATAATATTTTCAAGCTTTAGAGGATCTGTAGCATCTTTCCTTCTTACTCCTACTAGATATTGATGAGCCAGCAGTTGTTCTATTGAAGCTCGTTTTTCAACATTTCGAGCTGTGCACATCTGGAATAAAACGCCATAGTGACGAATAAGCCATGAGGCAGAGCCAATGGTAAGAGCATAGTTACTTCAAGAAACATGCTTAAAATGGGATCAGCTCCAATGTCGTGCTGTATTCGCACATTTGGATCAAGTATCGCCATCATCTAAATGTCTGATTCTTTTGTAAATGTTTTGGGTCATAAACTTATTCCATAAGAAATAATTCTCTTCACTGCGCGAATGCTTATCCCCGCTTTAGTTTAAAAATAATCGAGTCTGGTGATTTCGGTTGCACTCACAGTTTTCTCAGGGTGATCAGAAAACGGTCTCCGACCATAATTCATCTGATAGACAACAAAACCGAGTCCCCACGTATCCACTTTTTTAGTAAGCTGTAACATCTTGAAATTGCATATGCTTATGCAATATTCTTGTGACAGAAACCTTATATGTTCCATCACTTCGTGGCACGATCTGTTCTGGTGGCCTGTTTGAGCCGAACATAAAGTCTCTGATTATAAAACCCTGTAAATCTTTTTTTTTGCAAAACACTGGAACTGTTGAAGTTCTGGTTTAGTTCATTTTGACAGTAATTTTGAATCGTAGCCAAATGGTCAAAGATAAGTTACCTCTTTATTAGGTAAGATAGCAGATAATCCTAAATCCATTATTTTCAGCGCGCCGTTAATAATAAGAACATTTGAAAGTTTTATATCAAGATGAATTATACCTGAAAAGAAGACGAACTTATGAACATAGTTTTTTGTTCGAAAATGCAACATACAATGATCATGCATTTCTTTAATGCCTTTTGCAATTTCTAAAGCAAAAGATCTAGCAGTTGTTTCGTCAAACCTCCCTTGTCTTCGCTTCATTTCAACTTCAAGATCAACTTCTCCCAGTTCAAGTACCATGCGTAGAGTAAGTCCATCGGGAGATAGATCACTGAAGAGTTACGAAGATAGATCCTATAATTTTAAATAATGTGCGCAACCCATTTTTTTAAAGAAAATTAGACTGCCTCGCGATGCGAAAAAGGTACACTCT